TTAAAATGTTATTTACACAACAGACCGTGAATATAATTATTATACGTACCTTTATACGGGGATTATCAGACTCAAACTCAGCGAAGCTCTGAAATTTTTTTACCAACGACTTAAGCTTTTCCTTGCAAGTTTTAGTTAAACTTTTGTTGTTTTGAAAGCGAGTCCTGAAATATTAACAAATTTATCAATGTATTGCCACTTTATGAAAGGAAAAATAAAGTTAACTGTACAAATACTGAAGCCTGTGTAAATTCTTGACTACTACATATTGGAAGATAATCGTTTTTTTCCAGTTAAGTATATTTCTTTAAAGTTACTTTTCGCTTCTTTGGTGCCTTTGTCCCATCTGTAGAACTAAACTAACTCTTATTAAAAAGGTTTGTTGTAAAACTTATTGTGTTACAAGAATTAAACTTTCCACACTTTCTATATTCTAGTTGCAAGTTAATCATAAATTACGAATTTTTGCTTAGATTTGCTTACTTTAGTACCCATAACAAAAGGAGGTTGGGACAATTAACTAGTGACTTTAATTTTATCGATCGGGAAATTGTGCTTCCCAAACTACAGCTGTTAGCCGTAACAACGGACGCAGACATAATTCTGGCTTAAAACAGCCAAACACATCCATTCGAAGCACGACCAAATCGTTAATTCATGACTGACCTTAACTGCAATGAATATTGCTTTAAGTCAGAAAATTGATAGCACTAAACATGGAACAGGGACCTGGCCAACCAGGGCTACGGTAAAAGTTAACCACGACAACAACCTTGCATATAACGTGCCTGAATATATATCACAACAATAACTTCGAAAACCTGTACAGCAGATCAAGAAATGAGGAATGTTTATACCTGTCAATTGGAATGAAGCCTGAAAAAGGACAGCTCCCATAATGGACCTTCCACTTGTGTTCAAACGGACGAATAAGAGTCGGGTTTACTTTTGAACTAGTGTGAACCTCCGAAGTACAACCGCTTAAGAAATATGAATAGACTTCTTGATACAACGGGCTAGGCCGTTGTAGACATTTGCGACCAAGCTTTTGTTCGTCAATTGGCGAGAACAGTTGTTTCATTGTTGTGTTAGTAAGCGAGGAAACTGCAGTAAGAAAGTTCATGTTTTCCTCCTTTATGTCCGGCTGATTTTCATGCTGTGTCAAATTCAGTCCAAAAACCATTAAACTTTTCCGCTGTGTTGAAACATCATCAATATTCAATTCCAGTCGAAGCCAATCGTTCCATATTTGTAGACATTCTGTAAACACGTCCTTAGAACCAAACTGCAACACGTTGCTCGCATATTTGGGCGAAGTGAGATTTTCAAGAATCGCTTGCAGCCGCTTTGATTCCTCGCCAGAGAGCGCTAAATCATACCACAGATTCCACAAGAACTCCACATCCAACTCACTGTCAGGATTTATAGATAGCGCGACCTCTAAAATGATGGCATCACGGGCGAGTATTGATGGGTCGTGATCATTAAGATGAAAAGACAAACTTGCAAGAATCGTGTCGCACTGTCGCTGCGAAAGTTCAGAGACTGTGAACAAGAGATTTCGAACATCTCCCGAGCCTAGCAACAAAATCTCCAAACTGTCGTCAGTTCTGGAAGTTCCGAAGTGCTCCGCTAAACCTAACCCGGGCGTGTTTCCAAACGCGTAAGTATACTGCCCTGTCGGGAACAAAACTTGTGCTCGAGGATTGGCCAAGCTCAGTTTCGGAACCCCATGGCTGTCATACTCGGGCTTCATGACAAAATAAGGAAGCAGAAAACTCCTTGAAGCAGCGACCAGCCGTCATCCAGGGTTCATCGCAGCCATTCCTTCCGAACTGTTTAAACAAGTTGAAGTCATTTACATTTATAGCTGTATCGAGACAGACATTGTGTTTATAATCTATGCGAAAACAAACTGTAGTAGTATTAACACAACTGGGTAATATTCGGTAACGCAACAAATCTATGACGCTTAAAACTAAGAGACAATATAACAACACTTTACACTCTTGTACTACCTTTCTAATTATTTAAGCCGAATTAATTTTAATGAAAAGTAATAATTGTCCTAAAACAGCGCTTACAAAAATACAGTTAAGAGTCAGGTGACGGGTTAAACATGACAGGAAAAACACCGCTATTAAATTTACGAAGGAAATCACATCGACTGTTATTCTAGTTAATTTTTTTTCCCTCCCACCTAGCTTATGAGTAATTTCAAAATTGTCATTTGAACTGAAATTGGTCGACAATAAACGACAGGATCTGCCATTGAAATAATATCTAACATCGGAACGGGTTAGCTTGAGGGTCAGAACAGCAATGCTAGCGTATTTTAACTTTACTCGTCCCTAAAACGATAAGTAGAAAAGAGAAATAAAATTAACATAATCTCGACGGCTCTTTTGCCAATAGCATGGCTCTCGCGAATAATCACTAAACTAACCAGTGTTCCCCTATACCAGTCTATTCTAATTTTGGCTTTAAAGACAAACTACAGATTCGAAACTAGAAGTACGATAACCGAAATGGCCATTAATACGAGATGCACAATATCATATCACTGGCAGTATTTACTATTCAGGTGTATGTTTTGTCAGCGACATTTCAGTTTTAGAAAAATAAGTAATTTCAAGAATTTAGCTAAACATCTTCGCTTTGTTAAGATACTGTTAAGAAAGAAACTTAACAAAAATAAAGGATAATACCTAAGAGGTTGTGATCATCTCTCTCGTTTCCGCCTGTATCCGACTTCCGATATGAAAACAACTGACAATGTTTTTTTAAACAAAACTATATTTGCATACATTTGCATTTGTCGACAGGATTTATTGAAATTTTTTCAATAGTGCCTAGAGAAAGAACTTGCTTTACCCTACATGCCGTAAAAAACGGGGAGAAATTTTTACGTGCTAGCTCTGTTATATACATGTATATATAGATAGCTTTTGCAAAGCTTTGTTAGGAACTGTCATATCGTTCAAGATCGATGGATTAATCAGTTTTTGTTCTGAGCAGGTTGTTTGTACGTTAAGCAGCGACTTTAACACTGATAAAATTAATATATGCTTCTTGCGTCAGGGAAAAACTTATTATTATTATCATTTTTTTAAAACCCCGGGGTTCGGGAAGTCATGTATTTTTGCTATATGTGTGTGTGTTTTTTTTTTCAATAAATCCTTGTAAATAACGGCTCTGTCACCTTTACGAGTTTTTATTTTCCATATTTGGATTTTCGACATCTCAAAAGTGTTTTTAACCTTACTACTTCCCGTAACCGAAAGGTGGTTGCCTGGCAACGGTATATATTTTTACCTGCCTGCGTCACAAAGATTGAAATTTAGGTACAAGCGCAGGCGCATTGCGAAATCAGGAAGAATCAAGTCATTGCTATAATTGTTAAGGCTGTGGTAAATTCACTTAAATGAAAGAGATGTTGTATTTGAGATAATAGCTTGCGAAAATAATAGCCACAGTGGTGGCATGAAAAAGTAAGATAAAAATATATATTACGAAAAAATTAATATATAAACCATGTTCTGTTCTGTTTTGTTATGTAAGGGAAACTGATGCAGCCTCCACACGACTTACACATTACTTATAGAGAGGTTTTTATTTTAGTGTCGAAAAGTAATTGGTTTTGCACTTATAACGCCACACGATTGGCTTAAAAAACTCGCGCCACTTTTTCATCCAATCAGAAGTAAAACCAAACCCAATGGTGACTTCTTCGCACTGGTTTTCCCGCCCTTTGCGTCAGCTTCATGTATTTGCTTCGAGCTTTGATTGGTTCACTGTATCGTCTGTGTCCTTTGTGATTGGTTAGAGTGATTACTTTGGTTTTGGTTTTACAACACTACAGACTATGGAACTATGGAACTATGGTACGTCTTAGTATCACAGTGTTTGTTCGTTCGTTTGTTTATTTGTTTTTCTTTGAACTTGATAATGATAATGTAAATCTCTTGGTTAGGTTATGAAGTTCGCCTAGAATATCTTTGCTAATTGCGTGCTACCAAGGGCTAATATCTGAATTTGTTAATTGGTTTTAACATCCTTGTCGTCTTGCCATTATTGCCGTTATAAAATTTTTAAATTAAAATTTTGGTTGCTGCGTTGTTAATAATAATATGGTAGTCGCATTTATGATAATGATGTATTCTGTTATCAAGTTAAATACTGTTTCTTTTAGTTCGTGTCGTATGTTTCTTTTAGTTTACTATTTGTTGCCTTGTAACTGTTTACATCTGTATCTATTTTTACGATAATTGCAGAAATTCTCGCGTGCTCAGTGCCGAATTGTCATTTTCAATAAGCGGACAGACACATGAATTTATAATTTATGCGCTGCCGCCGCTGCGTCAACGAGCGAGAATAGACATTTTGACAATTTGTTATTGTAAAAACCAAATTGACGTCAATTTCTAATGCGTCTGTCCTGTGGTTGACAATGAATTCCGTCATAAAATTGTCAAAGTAGACTGCGGATCCAATCGGCTATCGCCTCGTGGATCCACAGCTACTTTGACAATGTTATGCAGAAATTCATGATCATTAAAAGGACAGCGTATGAAAAACTGACTTCAACTTGTTAAAACTTTATTAGGCCCCGTCCACACTACACGGTAGAAATTTGAAAGCGCGCGATTTCATTCCGAAAACGCATCAAATGTTTTCCCTCCACGCCGCGCCAAAGGAATTTGAAAACGCAACACTCCCCGGTCATTTTGGATTTGAGCCGAAAAATATATGACAGCAGGTAATCTGTTGTTTTAGAATTGGTGCCTTTTAGGGGTGATAATCATTTCAAGCCACGCCCATAAAACAAGATCTTGGTACCTCTTAGGAGTTCTTTTCAAAATTTCCGACGAACACCCTCGTCCTTTTTATATGGGACCGGAGTCTCACCCCTGGCAACAGGTGAACGATAACGACAGGTGGGGAATATTTGAACATCAATGCTTAAAACGGATGGCAATCCATTCTTTTTTTCACATTTCTTTCTATCTTTTCTCCCTTTCTTTAGCAAGTGCTAGTTACGTTTTCAGCTATGTTCGTGGAAATGTTAAATTGTGAGAATTTTGGCGCCTGTCTTAATTACTCGTGTTTCACTGTCCGGACTAATTTCTGAAAAAAACGAGCAGTTCCGAAGGGAAAGCGCGAAGTCATCAAGCTTTAGGGACCGTTCATTTTTTATGAGGGAGGGGGGGCTGGTGGGATTTGGGAAGCACCATTTAAAAATCGCATGAGCCCCCCTCAGCTTACCAATTTTTTCACATGGCCCCCCCTTATAGCGGACATTTTTTGGGATGACCCCCCCCAAAAAAA